CGCGTTCATTCAAGCTAGAAACTCGGCCCCGTACTGAAGAACCCCGACGGATGGCATTAAGTAGCGGGGCAAAAAAATCCACAATCATTGTCCAATACTGTGATTTAGTGGTTCGCAACCAGAGTCTCCGAATTTCAAGTTAGGAGACGCAGCTTTCGAAAAAAAAAAAAGAAGGATGTACCGATACGTGCAACCATTGCTTTTACATATAATGGTTCTGAAGCTGAGAAAACTGGGTGCGGGATTCATAAATAATGTGGAGTCCATTGAAGTACGTAGGGGTCTCTTACGATCGCGGGATCTCGCTAACCGCTCTCATCAGTACCTGATATTCGGTGGACTAACCCGGCATCTTAGAACTAGACTATGGGATTTATCACTACGCATATAATTAGCATACATGTTCAATTTTATCCAAATGCTATTTATCGGTTAAGTTGTCTGACCAAGTATTTGCACCATTTGTCCTTAATGCGAGGTATGTATAATATTAAGTATAACACATCGAGCCCTTGTGACTGCCCTATACGAATCGCCAACGAATAATTTATTTTCAGCCAACATCCAAGCCTACCGTTATGTATAGATTTGAACTTGATCAACAATGCATCATTGTTTCATCCCTTAATAGTTCTTAAACGTGAACAGTTCCGCCTTAAATTTTCAAATGAGATTCTAGGAATGCTCAAGCATCATTCACTTTTTAATCAGTACATATAGTTGTAGCGGTATCGCGAAGTAGAGAGGAACGTAAACCATGGTCGAGCTGTTATCATGAGGTAGTACGTTAGTTTTTTTATCGTTTTTGATAACCATAGAGGTCTTTTCTAAGGGACAATTGCCGAAGGACCTATGTGCCACAAAATACTAGCCATAGGCTGTGGTCCATACAGCAGTGTCCGGTACTTATCTTAAGCCAGCATTGGCAGTTCTTCTAAGGCCTATAAGGAAAAAATCGAAAAACGGTGAAAAATATATTGACAGAAACCTTTTCGTTCTTGCCATGTTTCTTTTGCAGCCATCTGGTTCGATCTATGGCCCTGACTATCTAGGCCTCTAATCCATCATCCATAGACTATAGCATAGATGTGTATATATATGAGAGGCCGCTAAGAGATATGAACGTGTAAAAGAATTCAATAAGTGGAATAAACGAATTCGAACAACAATGGAAGAAATGACGGTCTTCCTCATTGAGCCTCCTTGCAAGACCTTGCGGACTCGTCCGAAATTCCTCTTAAAAGACCTTCACTTCATAAAAGTCACGAATGACTCGCTAACAGAAATGGCATTCAGGGACTTGAACGAATAGATCCTAACATGGGAGCGAAACAGGAAGGGGTCTTCATCGAAAGCCCCATTGAAGTAGATTCATTATCGAAGCTACGCCGTTTTGTATAGACAAGAGAGAAGGCGGGAGAAAAACAGCACAGTATAGCCTAAAGATACAACGAATGGCTTCGGCCTGCCAGATTTAGAAGGCTTGCACCCAGCATCATTGTCAGCAACTGCACATCTTTTGGATAAATATGCGTTGAAGGCTAAGGTGAAGATCATAATGGTACAGCAAAAACAGACGCTTTTACTTCGGAAACGGTCCAGGAAATGATGTTTTTACATGAAGAAAGAGGCTGTTATTCCTGGCGGAAAGGCGTCGGCGGAAAAGCATCGATATCAATCTTAGCGTCATCAAATTAACGGACATCATATATATATGTGTTAGAGTTTGCTGAGATACAGTATCTCCGGACTCGCAGTTGGATTTTCTTGGAAGAAAATATAACATCGTGATTCTTCAAAAACCCAGTTTATAATGGACGTCCGACATCTATGTTCAATGAAATGCTATATTAGTCGACAAGACGTTCGCTTTCCTATGGCGTCTAGAAAGTTCAACGCTAATGCAGCATATTAGGATTGTACCATGTCTTTTACATGCAAAATGGTTCTCTGATATGTCACTGCATCGGCCGTGCCTAGACTACAATCTGCAAGCTACACATCGATATGTGTAACTTTCATCACACTTTGCATTTTGTGGGATATTTAAGGATCTCCGCCTCACGTCGGACCATGGGAACGTGGCGTCCTTGTCGCTCACCGGACGCCGGATTCTTCGCCAAGCAGGACTAGCGGCCGTTGGTTGGCTTTTTCGTATCAGCGACTATATCACATATTTCTAATGAGTGTTCAACAGGTCGTTTTCAGCCGCTTTAGCTCCTGCGTTCCCGACTGATTCATGATCACTGTTGTAGGGGAGATCTGTCAGACGAGGGACGTGTGCCCTTATGAAAAGAGATCGTTCCATTAAATAACATAGGACGTGAACTTTCTATCACTTTTACTGCCGACGTCCAAATAGTTCGTCATGGTCCCGACTCGACGGACTTAGAATCTGGTAAGCCCGCAGCATGAGGTTACTGGAAGCCAATCATACCTTCAAGCGGGTAAATAATCCCGTGTAATTTCTGTACTAAACCTTTGTACAAGATCAAGAGCACGTCAGCGCTTTATGTAATACAACTATATGCTGAAGTAGCCTTTTCCTTGAGCACCATCGCGGCGAATGATTGATAGGTAAATTCAGGGAAAAATCATAACACGAGCTGCTTTTAAATGGTTGAATTCATCTTAGGCCTCCAGCGCAGTAAGAATATTTGACAACCGTACACGCTACAGATTAGTAAGTAGCGATTTTCAGATGTAACATTGTCGTATTAGATAATACTCTGGGCAAATACGCTAGCAGGGGAATAGCGTTCCATCCTGCTTGCTGGCTTTATTTCGCAGTATGGACGCTGGGCGAGCGACGACGCCAAACCACCACTAGACAAAATTATATCTGAGCTGCCTTGGAGTGTATTATATCTCTCTTGAAATTAGAATAATAGGCGAATTTGAATGAAGAAATTAAAAGGGGCCGCCATTCAACTGAGCGGCAGAATCGATATCTCTAACAGCCTCTGCGCGAATACTACTCACGCTTTTCTCGTTACTCTTACTTTTTTTTTTTTACCGAAGATATTTATATCGTCAAATGCGTTACTCTTGGTTCATAACCTTATAATTGGCTCCAGCTAGACTTCACGTTGAGGGTTGTTACGAACCAATTAAGCTCGCCGTTGTCGTCTAGTTGATAGGTCTCTAGACCAATTGTAAATTACACATATCTTCCAATCCGTTAACGTTGCGTTTAGCCGCTTAACAGACAGTGCGTGCGCCGTATGCTAGTCAGACCAATAAGGAAGATTCTGACCAGAGTGAAGGAATGCCGCGGGCTGAATGACCCCATTTCAGCTTGGCGGCATCGTGGCCCGTGTTAGCTTCCGTCAGTTCAGACCCACTTCATCTTTACTAGTGAGTGTCTCAATGGTTTCCGCAAGCCACAAACTGAATCAGTGGATCCCTTGAGCGGCACCTGATCGGAATATCTAGCCAGCATTGCTTTGCATACGGCAGGTCCCATTCGGCTATGCAGCCAATAGCTAAAAATGACAGTGGGGGTGACGATAGGCAGACTGATAGCGGGTAATTGTTGACGATCTATTTTACAATAGCGGAAGACGACAATCGTTTTGTCGCGAGGTATAATGAATATATTCAACTGAACGAGTCCAAGTGCCTTAGAGCATCGAGTTTAATGCGCCATCGGATATAGCCGTTCGTAGTATCTGAGGGTTTGAAGCTTGATTTTCGAGAAAAGGAGATTCATCGTCGATGAAAGTTTATTTTCTCATCGAAAATAAAGCTATCTATGTCGGCGAAAATCACACGATTGAACGTAGATAGCATCGGTTTGAAATGAAAACGAATGGCAATACGTTGTTTGTCCATATAGCCTATTATCGAAAGTTTGCTGGCCAGTTTTTTTGGTAAACTGTGAGAACATATCATGATTGTCTCCGAACTTCTGGATGTTCTGGCTGTGTTACAAACAAGATGGCAGACTAGTTTTCTTTAGTCAATCAAACACTGCAGTGTGCCAGTCATTCCAATGTCATACAATACAACAATAGCATCTTGACGATAACTTCAGTGAGCTACGTCTATCGTATCTGATACTCGCACCTGGCTAGTGAAGCAGCTGCGTCTTGGAGCTGGGCTCCAATCATGGTTCCATTCGCAGCTGCAGGCTGAAAACCCTTCGTTCGAACTGAACATTCAAGGTGGTAGGTATTTTTTTCAAGTAGCTTTCTGTTACGCGCGTTTTTCTTGTTCCCTGCACTGTTAAACCTGTACAGTCTTAGGGAGCTAACTGATGTAAGTGAACATACATCGCGTATCCAAATCTGACATTGTTTTTTGCCCGTAGAAATAAGTTAATTTTTTGGTTGCAGTCTTTGAATAACAGTTTCCATTGATTGTTGGTTTGACATATTACATCGCTAAATATATTGGTGCAATTCTCGGGTTTGATTTGGGTAACATCCAACCCGGTGTATATTCTATATATATATAACTACATAGTACAACGTGTGACTATGGTTGTATTGGGTAGTTTTTTAGGTCCGTCCATGCCGAATTTTGCCACTTAACAAGAAAGAATATTTGTACTGAACGATATGTAGGTTTGTGAGAAATCAATGACCAGTAAACACCACTGCGTACGGCAAGGCGAGTTAACGCAATGAATAATTTCTAATTTCGAACTGTCTGCCTATTTGTTTGTTAGCCGTGGAGTTAGAGGCCATTCGGGACATTATTTAGACACGCTCCTCGATAGACTAGCTACCCGAAAATAGCAATCTCGTAAACACTCCAGCTTTCCATCAGTTCTACATATTTACCCGTGTGACCAGCAATTCTACTGAAGTTCGAAAAGTTTGCGGAAGCTTACCTACTTCATTATAATTCAACTGTCTATGCAAATAGAAAATAAAAAAAGCTCGCTTCTACCAGAGTCAGCCCCATTAACTCTTGCAAACAGATCCGCACACTAATCAGTTAGTTTCACGTTATCCTGAAATAATCTAATTAACTTTTCTCAAACTTATACTCACCGGCGCGGAACACTTCGCTGCATCCGTCGCAGCGAGAGGCAAATGCGGCGTCGTAGCATCCTGCACAATAGACCTTTTCGGCCTTCGAGCCAAAGGGCTTGTCAACTAGCGACACCCGGCACTTGGCGCAAAGGAAGCACTGTTCATGCCAATGTTTCTCCTTGTACGAAAGATCCTGCCCAGCCACGACGATTTGGTCGACGGGGTGTGCATACAGACAGACGACAAAGACGTTAGGCGAAACAAGCACAGAACAGAAGACGAGAAAGAAGAAACAAATCGATTTATTTAGCTGGATTGATACCTCTGCCAAGAATCGATTCTGGCTTAGATTCATGTCGGTGGCGGTTGACAACGATATTTTGGTTGACTGGAAAAGGGTCCGCGAAACTATGAGAATGTATGTAAGTCTGGCAAGAGCCTTAGCTAGGTCTATCTAGCGGTAATTAGTTGGCAATGGTAAGCTGTTAATCATTTTGGCCCATGCTTGTAAATGGAGCGGTGTCATTGTTGAGCGGTGTTTGTCAATGGTTTCGGCAGTCCTGAAATGGCCTGCCATCCTACCTTCGAACAAAGGCATTTGCTACGCAATATTACGCCACCACGTAACCGGTTGCAGTTGAAGTATTCGCTTACGTGTGCGCAGATCCTATTTACAGGACCCACGAATGGAGTACTAATGGAATTATTATAAATAATTTGTATCTAGATGTTATACTCGTTACCGATGTTAGAACAGCTCGTCCAAGGCGTTACTACTTATCAGTATGCATGATTTCAATTTAAACATGTTATTGCTGTTCGTGAAGCGGGCCGATTTGTGCCGTCACAAAACACATGTCGACGAGCTCAAAGCATTGGCAGACTGCTATTTTTACTATTGAAGAATGATTCGATTATAAAAAGCAGCTCGCTGCTTTTTCTTCGCTGAAAAGCGGCTCTTCCGATGATCTAACCGATCCAAATACGAATGAGCTGATGATAATAATTGATATTTTTTAGGCAAAAGGTGCCTATTGCCGTCTGTACCATTGTGTCTTTACAGTTCGACGTAGACCATCCGAACACCGATCGCAAAGTCAAGACATCAAACGAGAGTAAAAACAGATAGATCCGTAGATTGAAATTAAATTGAAGTATCGAACGAGCAAACAAGCTCTATGTGATAGCAGATGTGATGGGATGGATCAATGCGAAAAGCGCACAGAGAGCTTGGCCCAGTTCCGAGTCCCAGCGAAGGCCATTGCTTTCTTTCTAGACAAGAGTTAGCTGTTTTTTCGGCAAGGAACCAAACGACGCGATCGGAATAGTCACGGTACAACAATACACCATTCTGCGTGAATTACTACGGTTACATGACTGGATCATGGACAATAGACTAGTTTGGATCATCGCCGAGATACACTCTACATTCAGACGGCCACCGGGACTTAGGCAGCTATTCGGAAATTAGAACTAGTTAGTCCAGATATTGTTTAGCATTAGCTGCCATAACGAACGACACAGGTACTAGGGAAGGTTCATCTGAGACAGTGGTTGTTGTTAAGTATTACCCAAAGCAACAGAGGACTTGGTATATAGGCTAAGAATAAAGTGGTCTATTACGTTTGCTACGTAAAACAGTTCGAACGATTAGTGATTACGTTTTTCCCGGCTAAATAAGTAAACCTTAAGAAAACATTGTTCCAGGTTCAAGCTAGCGACCCGGGTCTAACGCATGCTTGACTAAACAACTGACTGGTTGGGCTGATTCTAGTTGTTTCAACTCGGTGCGGCAATAAAAATGCATATTGCATCGAACAAAGGGCCTGCGGCATCACTAGCTGCATGTTTCTTATTGGAGTTCATATACGAGTTCACATACGAGAAATACTATGTTTTAATTGATTCTTAATTCCGGCAACCAGAGTGCGTTGAGGGCAAATAAACTACTGAAATGAATCGGAGAGGAGTTTGTCTGCGATAAAGCGTTCTTCCTAACAAGTTTGTTTACTTCTGTCATAGTGTTTTTAAGCGTTATTTTTGATACATTTACCGCCAAGTTTTACAAAAGATACGTTACATGGAAAAAAAATACACAATCGACAGAGAATTTGAGACCTGGGTTTCGTGTAAGCTGATGATCGTTTTGGAGAAACATTTCTAAACACCACCGAATCGATGCAGCTCTGTCAGCTAAGGATTCAGGAGATCTAGGATGAAGTCGTGTCCGAACCATGTGCATTACGCGAACAAATAGACAGCCACTCTCCCAGCTCCATTCAGTCAAACTCATTGAAGTTCTTATGGCCGACTTGGCCAAAGTACTTGTAATAAGGTTGGGTCAGTGACCCCGTGGCCATATATGACCTGATATTGCTTATAATTGCAATTGCCACCTATCATGAATAGAAACGGGACGTAAGCTAACACGTGAGCCTTCAATACCCACGCAGATAAACTTGCTTTCTACTGGCACGTGAAGTTCTACGATCAACAAATTGTCTAAGTTAACTAATCGAATAAAGGTTCGACAGTTTTAAAAACAGTTTAGCGTGAAATTTAGTTTTCTTCTCAATTCTGTAGGCATCTGTTGACGAGGCAGACTCTAGGATAGCGTCGATCGTTGGCTAAAATTGCATAGGTGAGTTAATAGACTAAAGGAAGGTTCGCGTTCTCTATTAACATTTTATAAGCCACTTTCGTTCCTTTTTTTGTTTTAGGATAAGTATCAGTACTTGAATATACAACTCCTGAACCACGAATGGAAATAAATCGCTCACACAAGTTCTTTAGCAATCCAGACTCTCTATTAAAGTATTCTTTTTTTTTTTTTTATAATACTGGGTGACGTATAAGAGCTTCGACGCCGAGGCGAGCGACTACCATAGCATCCGCTATTGATTGCCCTGCCGGTCTGCGATGTCAGCAACCAATCAACAAACCTCTGAGTCGCCTTATGTATCGTGACCATTATAGGGACCCGTTAATTTTTCTCTTAGCTTCGCCGTTTCATAGACCCGAAGCTATTGTGTGCTACTACCGCTGCCCTCAGTGTAGTCTACCGTGCTCCGTACTCCACGTGTGCTGTAACAGTTTCAGCAGCGTCCATCGGAGGAAGCACTGGCATCCACACTCCATAAAGAAAGCACACGAGCAAGGAAAATTGAAAAAGTTTAACGTCACCTCCAACCTTTCCTTTCGTCTATACATCGTCGAAACTGGGGGTGATTCAGAGGCGACCTGATGGTGACGATGCTGTTGAAGGGCTAGATGATTCGGAGGCGGTGAGAGCCTCGCCTTTAAATGTCTTTTTGTCTATGAGCGGATTGTTCAAAATATGTCATTGCTAACGCTGTTGTGCTTAGCCAAAGAGGAGAAAAATACGTAATCCTTCAAATTAAGCTATCAGTACACGCACAGGTACGCAGCTATATGTGGCACTTGAGGGAAGCAGTTAACCAAGCAGGCGCTGGGCCTGCAGAGTTAGTCGTACGCTGAATATTAAACGGGAAGTTTATAGCGTACGCGTATAAGCGTTGGCAGAAATAAAAGGTTTCTTGCAGATAGAACACGGGGTGATCGACAAGCTTAAGTTACGCTAGCATAGACCTTTGTTCTGTAAAACAGGATAAAACCATTTCAGGTACTTTAATTAATTGTGCCTACTAAATTATGAGTTACCTAAAAAGTTGTATATGAACAATTAAGTGTCAGATGTAATACTAGGAATAAGTTCCCAAAGAAAAGGTAGTCTTTACGTGGAAAATTCGTTCATTTTGTGCTTCTCTTTTGCACTTGTTTACTCGATTCGATATCACTGATCGCGCTTCTTAATAATTTCTGATAAACTTACTAAGCTAAAGCATTAGGGATTAAACAAATGGTGCTTCATATGTGATCCCATCATCTACATAGTTTGAGAAGGCAAGTTCTATATACATTTCTGTACTTAATCAAATGTGTTGTAGGCGGAAAGGGTTTCAACCACCGACCCCTCGCCCTTTTCAACCAACGGTTAATCCGTCCGAGCCACCGTACCAATATTTTAAGCTGAATTTAATGGAAGCGGCCCATTTAGTTGCAACGCTCCCCTTTATACCGTGTACAAACAAAATTGCACGTACAGTTCAATAACTTGTAACTCTAAGTTCTCTTTAAGGCCGCAGTTAAGGTAACCGCCTTGGAGGAACTAGGAAATGCGTGGCATCGTCCAGCTCTCAATGGTTACTAGTTTACTTCCCATTGAAGACCAATGAGGCAGTTTTACGCCGCGGAATAGTCGGCGTCGAGGAGGTGTTTTGTAACCATGTCGCCAAGGTGATATCGACTCGGTGAACGGCACACAACAAATTCATTCTGTGGAGTTGACATAGTAACGAGGGTCGTAATAGCTCCTTGCATGTCGTGAATCGTAAAGGACGTATGATCGAAAGAACTGCCACCTCAAACACATCCGGACCAACGCAGAAATTAAGGCGAATGAAGATCGGGGAACGGTACGAGGCTTGGTAAGTTGCTAAGACAAATAATAAAAATGGTGGCGTGTATTGAAACTAGAGAATGAGATATCAAGGGTCAAATATGTTGAACTCCATAGGGTCTATTTAACTGGTGTCATACTTTACTATGTATTGTCGTACTAACGATATGTTAATTTTTAATGTAAGTCACGGGGTTGTGTAATGAATTATGGGTTCTTGTAAGTTGTGGTCGGCATAGAAAGATATTATACATGCATGCTTTACGTGCAAGGAGATTCTTTTATCCTTTTTTCAAATCATTCGTTAAAAAGATAATAGTGTCTTTATAATTGCGTAACGCGTTTTTAGTATCTGATGTGAGCAGATATAATAAAAAAAAGTGCTTACCTTGGAGTCAATGCCAATCGGCTTGGAGCACTCGTCGCAGGAATTGGCAAATACCTGTTCATAGCAGCGCACGCAATACGGGTGCTCGTCTCGAAGAACGTACCGCTGCCCAGTAAGTGAGTCATCGCACTGCCAACAGCAGAAGTGGCCTGAATGCCAGTCCTTATTCATGGCTTTGGTGTACTCACCGCTGAAGATCAACTGAAAGTGTCGAATCAAAGACAGACATACGAGGAAAGCATGTTCGAAAGTAAAGTCTATTAGATATACAACTTTAGGCCAGTATTGTTTCTAGTAATAATGTCAATAAAATAGGTTAAATATAATAAGTTTCGCTTATATATTACATGTATAATGGTTATGGGTTTAGACTCAACCGTAAAATATATTTTATCTACATGTAATACATAGTGAAGTTGTAAAAATCAAATAATAACTACAAGAAAGTATGTTAATCGCAACACCCTGTAGAATCGATGGCAGTCATAATGCCCGTCGAAGATATTGTTATTATATAAAGATTCATTTTGATTTTCTTATAAAAACTTCGCGCACTTAGCAGACACACTGTCTTCGTTAGTTTTCGTATTTATCAGTTCTGCGTACAGGACCTTTTCTCAGTGTCTATTCATGTATGATAACTTCAGAACCATTGGTGAATGTCCGTTGGATTACACTTTAAAGAACGAGCTCATAATGCGAAAAATGGGCCCAGTTCTAGGTATCGTCCTTGATCAAACATATATCCATTGAGACAGCAGTCCAATGTAAATGCGGCGGGGGGTGCGAGCCCAAAGTGCTGAGCGGGAGATACAGGCCTTAAAGATCGTGCGCATATGTATAGCAACAGGCGCTTCGTTCGATGCTTCAACACAGGTGGTATTCCCATGATTTTACCTAGCTTGTGACACTCGCTGGTCGGAGTCTTCATTCGGCCTGACCGGAACATGTCCTTTGAATCTAGGCAGCAACTTGAGTTGTTCATAGTGCATTCTCGGCCTAGCGGCGACTGTCAGGAAGGCTACAGAACGCGGCAGGCGAAGGTGTGTACACCGACTGGGGATATTAAGGGATATTATTTAGCAAGCGGGTTCAAGGACGGTTGTAAAGACCTCCAAACCAACTAATAAAGTAGTCAAACAGGACCAGCGGCGCCAGAGTACACTGACCTACTCAACGCTTCCTACAGGGATGTCCAACTGCGAGGCCCTATAAGTTGAGTCCGCTTTTGCCAGGACCGATTTAGAATTTTAGTTGGAAGCGCAGTTGATTGCTGGTTTCTCAGTGATATCGTGGAAGCTTTCGGGCCCTCCATTCTAAGCAACAATGACTGCACTTTGTCAAAACACATTTTATACTTTAAAACAAAAAAGGTTGAAAAAAATGTTTGGATCAGTAAGCCATGAACATAGATAGCAATCTTCCCATAATCACAAAATGCCTGTTTTAGACATAGGTATGTATAGAATTGTTGTATTCTTATATTAGAATTATTGGTTAAGCTTATGTATTAGAGCCGATAATATACTCTACGATAGCCTGAGGGTGAGATTTCACACTAGTGGAAAGTGAAAGAGACATAAACATTTGAGTCCCAAAGAGCCTCCTTATCTAGCACAATTGTTATTAGTAACGGGGGTGGTACTCAGTCTGCGGTTATACTGTAGCCTTAGATATTCTTCTTATAAGCTTTCGCCTGTCTTTTGAATTTTGACCTCACCAGTTCTAAGAGGTTTTCTAGTAATATCAACAGACGCTGTCCTAATCACTATATTATATACATAGATACCTGTCGGCAAAAAGGCTTCGATTCTGTCCTAAGGACTGAACAGCAAAGGCCATTTGAAAAAGTATCGGCACAGCAGGCTGAACACTGCTAAGCCGAAGTGGAGGCAAGCTGTCTTGTCACACTGATCGACATATGCGTCAATAGGGAAGGCCCTAGAACATCAAGAAACAGGACGAACACAAGGTTACACTAAGTAATTTTAATAGAACCATACAACCAAATAATAACTGTGTTGATTCCGATGGTTTATAATCGTGATTATCATAAGACGGACTCCGTTAAAACCGATTGGCCCAATGATGATTGCAAAACGATACGTTTATGGACGACACAGTGGCATAGTCCAACAAGAAGCACTAATTTAGTACAATACAAACTACAGAACAGCAAATGTTTAGCCCAGAATTTCAAACGGCTGTGAAAATCCGCTTTCTAACAACCGGTGGATAACAAATATAGGCCGTTGCCATGTTCCTGTTAGTTCTCGTTCAGCTATTTGGTAAAATGATGGAAACTATATATTGGACTCTAGCCGAGAAAACCGACATTATATTAGGCGCCAATTGATAGATACGGCAGGAAAAGCCGCAAAGTTCTCAATATCGGCCTGTGTCGGATTAGCATTGTCCTTGTTGGTTGCATTATATCCTTTTCACACACTGTATTTTGACTAAATTTCTTTTAGCTACGCATATCTGATGTACGATTCTTAAAAGGACAATTCAATTTGCATATAAATTGTTTTAGATCGGTGGACTTGATAGAGGTTGAAGCTTCAGACAATTTGTTCAGCTCTGCTATGTCGGCCCTAATAAAGTTTGGGTCACTTCTAAGAGGCGATAAAAGCATATTTAATAAATAAAAAAAAAAAAGCCGTTAGACAGCATTTCATAAGACCGGTTCTGTTCACATGAAATAAATTGTACGTGGGCCTACGGATGCCAATGATGACAATCTGAGATGTCTCGTTACATATACGATTTAGGAACGCAGTGGAATGATAATTCCATAGTATTTTACCTATAATTACGAGGAATAATTTCAGATGTTTTCAAACCAAATCTGACATCTATCGCATGATTCGAAAGCAACTAGGTCTAGAGAAAAACAAGATATAGACCTTTGAGAGCAGATACTCTGAAACAAACGGAAGCGAAACGTGTCATTCATTCATCGTCCAGATAAGAACGACTGCTTATTACTCATCCAGAACGCCTGGCTGTGTTCCGTGCTTCCGCCTTCGCCTTTCCGAAAGGCCATGTCCCGATTTTATTCTATGCGCTTCAGGCACACTGAACGCCAACGACTTCGTGGCGTCATCAACAGCTTTAGAGAATGGCCAAGGTTTTAATGCGCCGTGTCTTCACAAGCTTCCCCTGCGAAAATTCGACTAAACTAGCCACCGGGTGAGCAGCTGTATTACTGTAAAGTAAGGTAGCAAACTAGACTTTTACACAACGCCATCTCTATGGAAAAATGGCGAAGCGTTGACGGTCAGTAAACTAGTTGCTAGGCCAGATAGATATAGCTATCGCCCTAAGCTTTCTCTTCTTCTACACTAAGCCCCTTGACGTACGCAGAGATTGCTATGCATCGTTCACTTGCTATAACAAGAGTCTATTACTGATCAGTAATTCGTAGCATCAGCAAAACCCTAGCGTAGGCTGTATGCTCAATAGACTGTATAGATGTACAGATCGCACAACAGCTAAACGAGTTTCCGTGACATCCTTTTCAGGCTCGTAATAGTTCAAGTCCTCACCATTGTAACTCATTGAATTGTTCGTATTGTATAGCCTCCTAGGTAAAACAGCCAGAACTGGATGCGATAATATCGAAAACACCTAGTAAGCGGCGTCAAGCTTAGTTGAACCCGTCGAAACATATTGAGCATTGGCAGCCAATTCTAGCCTCTATCCTGGTACCCTCACGGGGTCACTTCATAGCAGGATTCTAGGTCATTGTCAAGTGAAATGAGTGGTATGTCTATGTCAAATAACTTACATAAAACGAGGGTTACCAACGCTTTGTTGTTTACTATTAGTTCTTGCTGCTCCGTCAACTCTGAGAACGATATAACGGTAAATAATGAAGCCCTGCTAATTCAGGTTTGATAGTGTACCGCACGCGCACCTCAGAATGAGGCCCAACGTGTCCGTACCCTTCTCAAAACAAAAAGATTGCATTCTCGGTACGGTCCAAATACGGTGCAAGAGAAGCGGGCGTGGTACCATCGATTGAGTGAGATATTACGATTTGAAGCTCGGGCAAAATGTAAAGTGAATTGCTTTGAAGTAATATACTCTGACTTGAATTTTCCGCAGTATTCAGAATCATCTGGATAGATAGGTCCACCTAGACAGGTTAGTAGGTTCAGACAGGCCTTCTTAGATCTCGTCCTCACAAAAATCCATATTATTCGTATCCAAAAATGGTCATAATGGTGTGAACACTTATATCCATAATGCATTGACGCACATCAACTACTATTTGATTAGTATATTCCATTGCACTAACACTAGATACTTTTAGTTATTGAAATCTAGATTCGGTTTTTAATAGGCCACGAAAAACGTCTGCTTTAGCTGACGAAGACATCTATCCTGACACGTACATCTCCCTGGGAAGCGTTGCGTGACTCCGGGTCGTACGCGAAGCCTGTTTCCGAACCAGCCTCTTCATTCGTTTCGACAGCTACTTTCTTTACCTTCTTTACCTTCTTAACCCGGGTGACGACTTCGTCTGACATCGTTACCGACTCAACCGTGGATGAATTGCGCACGAATAGGAAACTGTTCGACGAGCGAGCGTTGGCGTCTTGTCCGAATTCTGCAGCACCGTCTTAACTTCTCTGTGCGAGCTGAAGGGCGTTTTGGTCGAGTTGCCTGCTTTCTACCGCTCTGCACTATAGCACTGATTTCAACAGAGCAGTTCGAATAATACTTTTAGATAAAGGCCGGAAAAGCCAGTTTCATTTTCCCGGTAATCGGAATGTTAACCAGTAAGCTGGCGGACACAAGGGTCCTCTTCCCTATGGAAGCCTACGGCCGGGTGGTCTCGGGAGAGGACTCTCTTGGGGCGGAGCGTGATCTGGCCGCAGACTACTACCGCTCTAACTCAGCCATCAGACATCAAATACGGCTGCAAATATTACCACCCAGCGAATCGGCCGTAAGCAATGAGGGTTTCTACCGAATCGGAACGCCGCGATCTCAGCCAGCGAGCTGATCAACCAGATCAACACCAAGACCAGAACTCTGTTCGCTATCCGCTTACTGGTTCCTTGACGACTTCGAAGGTGGGAGACTCTGTGCGCGCCTGTGCCACTAGCTGAATGCTGCCCCGTTGACGCTACCATCCACCCGAATTCGGCCGGTTGTTAGTCGTAGCAGAACAACTGGAACACGCTGAC